AATATAGTCGCTACGCCCCACATCCGAAAGTGACATTTCAAGGGAGGAGGGAAAATGTCACTTTGAGAGGGTAGAACCTGGTAAATTCGCCCCAAATTCATGAGCATTTCCCGTTCCGCTATAACAATGACAAAATTGTGAAAGAAGATCTTTTGTCGCACGTGTACACATCCGTACTTCAAACTTTTCAATATGTTCACTCGGAATCCGACAATACCTCAAGAGGATCGATGAAGGGCATTTATTGTTTTTATGAATAATTGATTGAATTAAGGAATGCGTAATTCACACCGTGTGGTTGCATGTACTACGTGCGCTAAACCTCCATCCACCGTTATGTATCGTGTGATCCCATAGCTTAACTGGTTAAGGGCAGGGTTGTATCAGGAATCGTACTCGCGAATCCTGAATCTGAATCTGGAATCAGTAATCATACTCACGAATCATGAATCTTACTCATGAATACGGAATCTGAATCAACACTTGTGAATCATGGTGTGAGTTGAATCAAAATCGGAAATCAGATAGTGAGTTGAATCAGTGCCTGTGATTCTCGAATCAGTATCCGCATACCGCCCCTGGTCTATTTGCTCACTCATGATTTAACTCCGCCTCTCGATGATGCATCGTTCATGGAGGATGTCAAATTGACATTGTCAATAATGACGCTATTCTCAGCTTTCTGGCTGGTCGTGGCTTCATCTACTTGGAGGCAATCGAGAACGACGACACCAAGGACTTCTATCCGATCGTCGCTTCCTTGGGTCGTCCCTACTAGGGACTCTCTAGCCTGTGATTCAGTGATGTTCGAGGTCCAGCTGGTCTCATGTTCCGAGTTGGCTCGCCCGATGAGTAGAGTTTATTACCAGGTATTGACCGACACTTTTGGTGAATGACTATCTCGTCGTTCGTCAGGTGAAAATGTGTATCATGGGAATCGAACCAGGGACCTATTCATGGTCTCAGTCGCGTATGGAGCCCAATGGCTGAGGCCGTCAAAGATGAGCAGCCTCTCGACCTAGCGGTGGCCATACGTCTTGGTACTCATCGTGGAGGTTTTCGATGCCCCTCATGGAAAGGAAGGGCATCATCGAGATAAGCATCTGAGCGGGTTGAAGGATAGGTCGCGTTCGAATCTCGAGGCCAGTGCCGTTGTTTGGATTTTCGGTTATTCTGGGCCCTGGGTAAACCAGAGGCCCGGGCCTCTACTCAATGAGTAATCACGTCGCCACTAAGGGACCATGGGCTCTTTCGGGAGGCCAGTGAACCTGGACCCCAGGGCGATTGCCCAATTCGCCCACCCCTGTGTGCGGCACTGCTCGAGACCATTGATCTCAACTTAGACCTTGGTTACTCGAGGCTCTACCATGGGTGATCCAACTGATGGCTGAGTGGCTCGGAGAGTGGTCCGTCTGCCAAGACTGATACAAGTGAGCTCTCTCAATCTACTGTTACAATGAATGTCATCATCAGACCTATCGCTGATGTGACTATTCCGACCTGGGTCAGATCTTTTTGAATCGACGGCACTTGCGGTCGGGCATGATGGTGAGCAGTGTTGGTGAGAACGGTCATTGCTTACCGACAGGACAACCGAGAGGGAGTTGTCGATAGCTCGGATCGAACCTTTGTGCTAGCTCGTCTGTCTCCTGTGGTTTGGTTATCTCATCGTGTGATATGTCCTCCCGAGCTGATCAAGTGCAGGACGATCGCGAGAGGCTGTCACTCGAAGCTCATGCTTTCACACGACACTAGGTTTCCAACACCAACCGGTTATCGTGTTACGAGGGGCTCGATAGATCACACGTGGTCGCCTTGAGAGTAGTTGTTTGTTATTATCTCTTACCATTATGCCTAGTAGTACGTCGACCATCACTACCTCGACCAGCGAAGAAGAGCTTCTGGTAGGAGTCCTGGTCGTCGGTTCCACTTGCATGTGTTGTTGGTCGTAGGCTCCTTACGACGTGTCTGAGCCGGTGGTCATTAATACGACACAGGAGAAGATGGAAATCCTCGTCTACTTCAAGGAGAGGCTCATGACTTTCCAAAGACAGAGCACGGACGATGTGGATCAGGTGGGCTCCTGTGAAGGGTACTCGTCGATTATGCGTAGTATCATTCATCTACTTCATAGTATATTTACTATCAGCAATATGGAACTGGATTTTCACCCGTGATATAGAAATTACTAGTGAAGAACACATTTCGCAGTCCACTTGGCGAAAAACGCATGTGAGCAGTGAATAGCGCGTCAAACACGTGGTATGTGTTTTACGTAATATGGGATGATTTGTCCGTTGTAACTCGCGAAGTGTTTTCAATTCACTCCATATCGCGTTTTCCACATGGAGTATTATTCGCCTGCTTCACGTAAACGGGTGAAACTCCAATGTATATATGCAGTTAGTCATAATTATAGTATATGAAGTGACCGAACTTTCTTGACTTTATCGAACTTTCTGCCGTGTAACACACTATCTACCGGTTCATACCAGGGCTCAGACAGCAGTGACTGAGCCTGCAGCCATACCTCGATACTGGCTATTACTCGCCTGGTCGAAGGGGTGCTGCGCAAGAAGTCTATAAAGGTTACTATGGATTCATATACTGGATTCAGTACTTCTTTATTGTGCTATATTAACGATGTTGATACTAATTACTACAATTAGCGTGTTTTAATGTTTACAGTTTATTTCTGTACTGTTAGTTTAACAGTGGAGTTTCACCCGTTTCACGTGAAGTGGCGTGAAACTCGGTGAAAAACGCGATATTCGCGCTATGCAGTAGTCGTGGAACATGTTATTGACTAGTGTTTTTCATATCACTAGGGTGGTGAAACTCCAGTTATTAAGGATATTAGGAGTATATAGTATTAATATAGTCCATACAATGTGGTGTGTAGGTGTTGAAACGGATGCGACTGAGCATGGAAAAGAATTTGAATAAAAAGAAGAAGAAACAACAGCAAAAGGCTGCGGCTTCGGTGGAGGTAGTGGCAAGTTTTGGGCATGTTCTGTATCTTTGTTG